CAGCTGGGTTAAAGTAGCAGCCAGGTGGGTCTCACCTGCTCATAACTAAAGCTTCCTACAGGGGTGGGAGTGGGCAGGCAAAGGTCTGTAGTCACTTCCAACCAGAGCATTTAGTCCTACGACTCTCCTGTGTTCTCTAGATTAAGAGGTCTTGTCTAAGCAAGAAGCAGAAGAGGTGGAAGGATGTTCTCAAAGAGAAATATTACATAAATAAAACCTTGGAAGCCCCAAGTCCAACAAGGTTCTCTTCTCCAGTGATTTCAGATTTTTCCCTGGTTTTCCTCCCCTGGTCCCAACACCAACCAGTTTGACTGAGTGGCCCGGCCCTGGGAGTTATTTTTCTCATGGACTGGCTTCGACAAATCAGTATGCGAGTGGCCAGCTGTATGGCAAGCACTCACGCCCAGTACAAAGGACCCCCTGAGCCCGTCGTGGGCTTCTCACGGCGTCCCCATTCTCGTCTCCGCCTTCGGGGCTTTGTAGCCCATGCCATGCTTAGTACTTTGTCTCGCTGCGCTCCTAGTGGACTTGGCACCTGCACAGGCCTGGGTCTGGTGGGTTTGAGGGGGGCGGGGGGGGAAGGGTTGCTGGGCGGCCCTTTTGAAAGGGTAGATCAGGCCTGCAGCCCTGCTGGAGAACGTGGAGCATCCCAATGAGGTTTAAATAACAGGACTAGGTAGGCGGGAGGGCTGTTCCGTCGGTGACCTTCCTCTGGAATCTCAGAGTGGGAGATGGAAACTGTCCAGGAACTGAGGAGCCTTCAGTATCAGTTGGAGGCCACAGTCATCAGGGGAGAGATGCCTCATTTCAGCCCCGTCAGACTCTCCAGATTCTTTCCTGATCCCTCAGGGAAATGGACTCTGAAAGGAAGGGCAGCAGAACAGATTTACTTGCTATAAAAAGGGCTTTTTATAGCATTCCTATGCCTGGCGAGACCTGAGACCCAGTGGCTGAAATCTGGTCATCAAGGTGGCTGGCTGTGCGCCAGGCTGCACAGGGCCAGACGACGAGGACTAAAGAAGACCACTGAAATCTGCTTAAAAACCAGGTCCTCCTTGCTCCCCCGACCAGAAGGACAGGGCCTGAGCCTTTCTAAATCCTGGGAGATCTGCTGCCAGCACTGATTCAGGGCCTCCCCTACTCCCAGCACAGACACGTGGGCAGGACTCAGGAGATTTCATTCTCCCTTTTACTTTGTCCCTTGACACAGGCAAGTTTTCCTGGGGGGAAAAGTTATGCTCACAAGTGGACACACCCCACAGTCTATCAATAATTAAATGCCTCTGGCTCTTGTTCCAGCTTCTTCCTTTGTAGTTTATTACACTTCTGACTCACAGGTACATTTAGGGGCAAGGGCATTTCATTTAATTAAGTGCGGTAAAGAGATAGCCCTAGGAAGTAGGCTGCAGAGCAGGTCGTGGCTTCTCTCTGAGCCTCAGAAGGGAGGGATGGTCACCTCTGCATTCTTGATGGCCCCATGGAGGCTTCCATCAGGCTCAGCCCCTCGCCCCCACCTGCAGATGCAGGCTCGGGTCATCCCCAGCCAGAGTAGAAAGATTTGGAAGAGCCTCTCTGGCTACCACCTTGGGGAGTACCATCTAGTCCCCACAGTGAGCTGGGCCACCTCTCCCTCTGTACCCAGATCTGGAAGCT